CATGCAGATTCTTCATTATTTGATCACCTTAAATCAAACAGAGGGGAATAATATTTGGTGGCAACCGTTTGAAAAGTGGAACGGGAAAAGTTTTCAACGCAAAATACCAAAACGAAAAAATAGCCCTTCTGGGCTAAAGCCCTCTGGTCTTTTTTTTTTTTTTTTTTTTAAAAAAGAAAAAAAAAAAGAAAACTTAATTTGTGTATTTATTTTGAAATGACCAGCTTGGTTTCACAGATACTACGCTTTTTTTTACTCATTATATGGAGTTTATAGCTACTGGACTTTGAACATAAATTGAAAACAAAACAAAATTAATACCTAGCTTTATCTCTCCCTTTAAAACTGGTTCGTTTTGTGTTGTTAGTAGAAAATAATGCTGCCAATAGGGTTTCAGTTATTTCGCTAGATGTTTTAAAATCCGCGAATTTAGACCAAAATAAGCTAAAATGATCTTAATCTGATACAAAAACCTGAAACATACGGAAGCCCCTTTATTCCATCAGTTTATGTACGCAAAATGTTCTCAAGGAACTGGAATCGCTTTAATTGACATTTTTTGCTAACTAATTAAAATTACCTTTCATAAATAATTTTTTGCGAAATCATTTGCAAAAATAATAAGAACTAACAATTAAATTAACTCCATTTAAAAGCAGAACAAAATCTCTAAAAATAATATCAACATTTGTAAATTTAAGTTTCCTAAGCCATAAGAAAAACTCACCCGTTTGCCTTTATTTCCATTAACTTAAAATGCAGTAAAAGAGTCTTTACGACAAAAGGTGGACTGAAAAGTGAGTCACTCACATTATCTGCACCATTGGAATTCTAAAACCACTTTGCCCCGTAAAAATAGACAGGATTTCATTTATATAAGTTCCAGCAAACTTTTCAATAATTGTTCTAGTGAAGATTCTATTATGATGTGTCTCTATTCTATTATGATTTGAAAACATTTATTTAGCACACGAAGATTATCATCGACATACGAACGCGTAATGCTTGAAGTTTTCATATGTCTCAACAAGTAAACAAGCGTATATCATCACACTCGAATTCAACAAAAATGATTACGCATTTACTTGAGATTACGTGGACATCTCTCACATGCAAATCATTTCGAAGAAATGCTGCAGCCATCAAAAGATCTCTATATGCAGATTCCAAAACATTTACGAACAGAAAATCAGTAGAGGATACTTTCCCACGGCAGTTAACAAAGAGTTTCGTGTTACACAAGTTTGTTAAATGCATCTGTAGACTGTCTAAACGTAAATTAACCAAAACTCTAACAAACTCTTGAAAGGCAGCAAAATTTTATTTTGTAAGTATTAGCAAACAAATGAATTTTAAACACAAAAAATAACTTTCAGGCCATCATATTTTACAAGTTCAAATTATGCAGTACATTCTAAAATATGTTAAAGGATTTGGCATAAACATTAAAAAAAATCAATGGCATTTTGAGCTAGATGAATTACGCCATTAAGAAATACCATGAAAATAAGTTACGTGATTTGCAAAGCTTTCTTTCAGACCATTTGATCGTGATCTGCGATAAATTTAATTGCTATGGAGTTCGCTTGTCGATAAAATAACGAATGTCACGAGGAAATCGACGCGACACTATTTCACGGAAGTGGTCATCCAGACTGCATTTTAAATCCAGCCAATCCACGAAGAAAAGAATGTTTCTGTGGAGAATGCCATTTATGGACCGAGTGCAGCAGATGTTCAAACTCGTGTGGATTCCATTCGAGAAAAACCAAACGATTCCAAAAACGTTGGAAAAGATATAAAAATTTCTCTTAAGGGGGGGGTGCAGCACAACAATATAATTTTCTTAACTTTCCAGCGCGTTAAAAATGTACTGTGTATTTTCGTGAATAAGACGAGGATTTTAGAAAACTATCTACTGCCGAAGTTTTGGAGTATTCTTAGATACAAGGTCCAGAAAAATTAGAAATAATTCAATTAAAAAAATACTAATAATTCAAATAACTAAAATTAATTAAAAAATATTATTAGCCCAAAGGGGCAAATTGCCAAAAAGGGCTATGAATTTCGTTTGGGATTTTGCGTTGATTCACTATAAACGGCGAATCACTTTTTAAATTGTTGCCACCAAATATTATCGCCCTGTATTATATTTAAAGAAATTGAATAATGAAGAATCTGCATAAATGTATGTATGTTTCTGGCATAGTAATAAAACAACGGTACCTAGACCCATCAAATTTTGAATAACGTACGTCTCCAACCGAATATGGTCATCTGGAAGCCCTGATTTGGAATTTGTTTTATTATCGATTTCATATTTTGTAACACTTTAACGAATTTTTATTAAGAAACTCAACAATTTCAAAGCAAGCAATGGCAACACTGTACGGAGGAAAAAAAAGAAACTTTATCTCCAGCGCGCGAGACTGTGTATCGGGAATTCTAAAGATATGCTCATTTTAAAATTATTTTGCGATATTGCTGTTGAATTGAATTTTATGGTTTAAGTGTGAAGAACATGATATTAAATAAATAAAGGTAACACACAAAACGGGGGGGAGGGACTTTGGGCATAATATAAAATTTGAAAAGCTTTCAGAATTTTTTTTTTTTCCATTTTATTTAATCTTCATATACATTAATCGCATATATTTAGAATTTTCTCACAATTCTCGGAAGTTTCCCTTTGCAGTATTGGAAATACGGACGAATGGTACTGTTCTACATACCACCATTAATATAGCCATCATCTACCTCGTAGATTATATCTTCGATTCCATCCAAAGCACTGCTAATGTCCCCCTCGAAAGACCCGGCGATAGATTTTAGTTTATTTTTCCGGATGAATAGAATTTCGCATTCATCTTCAATTTTTCTGCTAGGTCTAGCTAAGTTAGACGAACAAAATTATTCGAACTTTAGTTGATCTACGAGTTTTCAACTTTAACTAAACATTTGCAGCAAGGGCATCTCGGCTTATCCGGAAATTCGTGGTAAGTAAATAAATGTCTTGTTAAAAATGAAACTGAAACTTAAAAATGTATAATAGCTTTATTTTCAAGCATCGTTCTCTTCACACTTATGCCATATGGAACTCAACAGCAAAATCACAAAAAATTCAAAAGCAGCATAGCGACATATGCTTAGAAATCCCAGTACAGTGTTGGCATACAATTTTCTATTTTTTCATGTTCGCATACTTTTTTTTTTTTTTTTTTTTTCTCAGTTCATCATATCAGTGTTCGGTTTTCTTAGTAAGATGGCTTGCAAAATATTTTTATCTTTTTATTATTAACGTTTTGTGTGTTAAATTTATAAATTAAATATCATGTTCTCCACGCTTACATAAAATTAAATTAAACAGCAAAATCACAGAATACTTAAAAACAACATATTTTTAGAATTCCCAATGGACAGGTTAGCTTGCTGGCGATAAAAATGTTTTATTCCGTTGAAGTGCTGCCTCTGCTCTCGTTCAAATCGTTGAAATTGTTAATAAAAAATTAATTTTTTTTATAAAATATGGAATATAAAATCCGAGCTTCCAGGTGCACATATTCGGGTGGAAGGCTACGTTATTCAATATATGATGGCTCTAGGCACCGTCGTTTAAAATGCGAGGAACACAGATACATATATGCGGATTGTTCGTTATTTAATTTCTTTAAAAATAATATACAGGTCGATATTTGTTGGTCAACAATTTGAAAAGTGATAAGCCGTTTTCAGTGAACTTGACGCAAAATCATATTTTGGAACTCATAACCCTTTTGTTAGTAAATAAAACTGGGAAAGGTGCAGGAAGATCTTACTACCAGAAATGCATTTTATAAAACAATTCAAAGAACTTTGTGCAGATTTAAACACAGACATTAACGCCTTGCCACTTAGATAGAAAAGACAGATTCACTACCGTTCTAAAAATATAAATTTACTGACCTAAACTTTCGCTATCAACGGATGGATTACGCTTTCTGATTTACTTTGGAAAAGCAATGCCACTAACACAAAACCCAATATAAATTATTATTCTATGATAACGAAAACATTTATAACTTTCCCCATACAAAAGATTTTAGGAAATTCTGAAAACAAAATAGCAACTTATTAGTAAAGAGCATTCAGTTCGTGACTGCGTAGATAGTATTATTCTAGTCAAGCCTATTCTTTATGACATCATCAAGGAAATACATAAAACTGAAAGCAAGCCTTCGATATAGTATCTGGCGTGATCATTCGATACAAACAGGAAGGCCAGATGACTAACAAACTGGCGTCCTGAATGTTCTGCGTAAGGGCTTGTTATATAAAACACAGCTTTTTTCACACATGATATATTTTCAGTTTGCCTATATCGTCTTCACAAGAAGGGCACAACGAAACGAAGAATAAGACACGATGATTCCGTGGTATGATAATATGTGACACCCATACGTTTTTGTCGATCTGCACCTATTATTCACGCTCACGATTCCTCTACCTAGCCTACATTGCAGTTAAATATTTTTCCGAAAACAATGATGCAATTAGATATAAATATTGGTAAATTCCTATAAAAAAACGAGCCCACGAGCGGACGAGCGGTAAAGACGCTAAATACTGGTAGTTCGGTCCGAGGATCGAATCTTTCCCCACGTGTAACGTGTATACGAGCGATTTTCCCTTAAAACGTTCTCCACGAAGGCATCCCTTCCTTTAGGCAGATAGCCCTCGTGTGCTTTGCCATAATTAAATAATCCAATTCTATCAAAACCCCATCAAATCTGTCCAGAAATATGTATATCCAGAGTAGAAATCAAGATAATTTTAAGATTTTACTAAGCATACACGAAAGATATATTTCTAAAGCATTCATTCTATCCGCAGAAACTTAATATACAGCATTAATATTCATTTAGTTTTGAAAATTGATTTCAGTCATATTCTCAAGTAGCAAAAGCAATGATAAAATTATTAAAAAAAAAAAAAAAAAAAAATAGATCGTTAATTTTACTTACGTGAACAACAATCTGCTTGGTATTTAGCTCTCTCAGCTTTTGTATTCCTTCATGGATATCACGAATTCTACGTAAATTATCCTCTGAAAAGAAAAAGAGAGATATAAATGAAAGTAAGTCTGGTAATCAATAACATACGAGTTCATTGATTTTAGCTTTCAATAAATCTAAAGCAAAGGTTTGTAAAGAATGACTGTTCAAAGTTGATTACAACATTGAAAATATTCTAAAGATTAGGAATAAATTAAAATAATAATTAGCGGAATAATGATTGATGCAATGTTTAGGAGAGAAAAGTCACTTCACCGCTTTAAATAATTTTTTATCAAAATTTCACTATTACGTACACTGGAAATATTATATTATATTAAATATAGAAATATTATATTAAATACACGTATGTTATATAAACTACGTGCAATTGGATTTAGAGATAGAAAATATAAAATTCTCAAAACTGAAAAAGAATGTTGAAAAATTGAAAACGCATTTCAAATGAACTCCCCTCCGCCTTTCTTCTTTTCAGCTCAAAGGAGGGTCAGCCCAGAAGTCTCTTAGTCTCAAAACGGGATTTTTATGTAGAATCATTATAAAAATCTCAATCACTTTTCAAATTGCTGCCACCAAATATTATCGTCCCGTATTACATTTAAAGAAATTAAATAATGAAGAATTTGCATGAACGTACGCATTTTTTCGCACTGTAAAAAAGCAACCGTATCTAGAGCCATCGAATTTTGAATAACGTAGTCCTCCACCCGAATATGCACACCCTGAAGCCCGGATTTAGAATTTCAAGTTTGTTTTATTGTGCATTTCATATTTTGTAAACTTTAAAGAAATTTTGATTAACGAACTCAAACGATTTCGAAACGAGCAATAACAAAACTATACAGGGAGGGAAAAAAAAAAAAAAAAAACTTCAGCGCGCGAGACTGTATATTGGAAATTCTTATGATATGCTCTTTTAAAATTATTTTGCGATATTGCTGTTGAACTAAATTTTATAGTTTAAGTGCGAAGACATGATATTTAATAACTAAAGGTAACACACAAAACGTTAAAAAAAAAACACCCTTTTATGCGTAATATAAAATCTGAAAGCTTTAAGTTTTCTTTCTTAACTTTAGCTATTATTCTAAATTTTAAGCATTAGAATTGAAAAGTTTATTATTGCACATTATTCCACTTAACGGAAGACATTTAATGCAGGATGTGAATAGTTACAGGCAGACTGGGAACCTGTTTCAGTACCTTATAATCAGGTTTGAAGATCTGATACGAATCTTTAAAACTTGCTACATAAAATTATATTAATCATTTACTCCTTAATATGCCAGATCATGCACAGAGTGAGCAAACTTGTCTAGCGCTAAACCGGAACACACAACTTCAACGGCAAGCTGTCTGACTTCGAAACTGTCATAACCATAATCGTAATTGTCATAATCAATACTCGAAACTGGCATAAATTATTAGGTCATCATCGACCTCTCGCTAAAAGTGATCGTCCGTTGTTTTAGATGATTTTGATGCCGTGTGGAAACGATGTTAAATACATGTTCATACATGTTCTCAAGAACTCGCTTTAAGAATTTACTTTGCCTAAATGTCTGAAAGTTTCTACATTAGATGTAAGCGCGTGTATCCCAGTAAGTTTCTGAGCAAACGTTTCGTTAAAAAAGGGGGAGAAGCAGAAGATTATTCAAGTATTTTAATTCTAATCCTATGAAAAGTCTCCATTGTTATACAGAAAAACAACAGTGACAACTAATGCCAGAATTCACGGATATTTTACACAAACCGAGAACGACGCGGGTCCCGGAACTTCTAATCTGAATTACGAATCGTTTGTCTTATCAGTTTATTTAAATTATGCATTACCTTCTAACACACTTGCAAGATATACAGGGTGGTCATAAAAAAATTCCTCGATATATGAACGCCTAGCAGCCTATCCGCTAAACCAATCGAAATGAAATTTCACATATTGTTATTTGAAGATCTTGCGCTCTAGATAGTCATGATTTCAAATAATAGAACTATCACATCATGGTGGCAGTGAAAATATTTCGAAATTTTCGAATGGCAATAGCCATTTCTTTTTTCCTGCGAAATTGATCAACGCACTGAAAAACCATAAATGGCGTTGTAATGGTAAACGTTCAATGAAAATTCCCGGCATAAAATATTTATTCTTCGTAGTTAAACCACAAAACTCAATTCAACACCTATATCACAAAATAGCGTCTTTTTCCGAAAATAAGACACTGTCTTACTTTCTTTTTTGGTCCAAAATACGCGCTAGACTTATTTTCGGGGGAGGGCAAAAAAAAATATATTTAGATATTTTTATTTAATATTTATTTTACACAAATAAGGCATTTTTTTTATTCAATTACAGTCATGTCATCTTCTTCTGGAACATCGTCATAAATAAATTCTGAATTATATTCTGATTTTCTCAAAATCCATTTCCTGTTGTATCATTGGTCCGAATCTCTCATGTCTTCGATATAGCTATCGTTAAATAATACTTCTTGTCAAGTAGCCTGTTCGTAGTGCATTGGAACATCACTATCAGTTATTTTGTCCCATGAAGTTTTTTACCCCATTCACAACTTTTGTGAAGCCTGGTTTTACAAAATTACCCGATTTTCTCACCATTCTGTTTTCAATATATCATGATTTCCATCCGCAAATGATCCTTGCATGGCTTGTTTATTGCAATGTCAAGTGTCTGGAGGAACCAGTCCTTCCTGCCGGAATCATTATTTGTCAATCATCCTCTCAGCAAGAAAGTTTTCATGTCTTTAGCGCAGTGAGTACTGGCTGAATCCCAAACGTATCTCTCTCGGGGCAAACGGTGAACTGGTTAAGATAAATTCCAAGAATTAATTTGAAGCAAACTGTAGAGGTAAACAATTAATTTCTCGGATTATTTTGTTTCAAACATTTCTCTGAAATACGAATATTAGAAAAGCTAAACATATTATTACTTAATAAATCAACAGCATTTTTTAACGAATTCTTTTTGTCACATTATTTTAACTAGGGATTATTTTCGGGGGATGTCTTATTTTCAGAAAAAGACGGTAATTTAAAAAGAGCATATCTTTAGAATTCCTAATACACAGTCTCGCGCGCTTGAGATAAAAACCCCCCCCCCCTTGTACAGTGCTGCCACTGCTCGCTTTGAAATCGTTAAGTTTGTCAACCAAAAATTCGTTAAAGTTTTACAAAATATGAAATAGACAATGAAACAAATTCCAAATCTGGGTTTCCAGATGCCCATATTCGGGTTCAGGATTACGTTGTTCAAAATTTGATATCTCTAGGTACCGTTGTTTTATCACAGTGCGAGAAACATACATACATTTATGCAGATTATTCATTATTTAATTTCTTTACATATAATACAGGGCTCTGATATTTGGTGGCCAACAATCTGAAAAGTGATACTCCGTTTAGTGATTCGACGCAAAACGCTAAAACGAAATTAATAGGCATTCTGAGCTAATAATAAGACATTTTTTACCATTTCTGAATGAAGATAATTTGCTTCACAGGTTAAGACAGTGAAATATTTGACAAATGTGAACGGAGTTGTCGACAGCACCCAGTTCGTTTCTAAGTTCCCACTAGGGTAATAGCCAATTAATTAATCGGCATGATTTGAAAACAAGGACGCCGTCTTTATGACGTCTGCATTCTATTTTCCAACATCCGATTTCACTCGACATCCGGACTTGACTAACTGGGAAATAAATGATCTGTTGAAGCCACTGATGGTAAAATCTTTCGTTTCGTATGAGATATGCTTAGCGATAACAATCACACGTAAGCGGAATTATTTATGAACGATACCATAAAGGCAATAACTTTGACTGATTCAGAAAAGAAAAAAAAATATTATTACTATTATTTATCGAATTAGTTAAATGTGATAGTGGTTTTAATTACTTACGCAATGCAGTAAAAATGTTTACAAACGTAAGACAATATACTTTTTTCATCGATTTCATAATTTGGGGGGAGGATTAAATTCATACTTATTTCACGAAATGCTTTGAATATTTATAAATGTAAATGCCATATTAGAAAATTACTTAATTATTCTAGTTCAAAGATGATTATTAAATTATTAGTCCTTGAACACATGGCTCGAGAGTATATTACTAATTAATCATAATTTTTAACTTAACAGTAACATCATAGTACTCCATACAAACATTTCGATTTCAAACAAGCATTTTTAATATGCTCAACAGAAATGGCACGAAATGAAACCAAACGGGTAAAAAATTTGTCACTAACGGTATAAAATTAGTATAGTAAAATATTGTTTTTAATTAGATAGTTTACTTTTCATTCTAATCAGAGACATGCTCTTTGTCAAGTATTCAAATATCACAATATTTTATTTTTTTTAGAACTTATCATAAAATGTAAGGAGAGTCCTATATTCGAGGAGATTTTATTTTCGAGTAAATATGTAAGTTAATTGGAAGAGGGGGTGGGAGGAAATAAAAAATTCCTCTAATTGAATTATACTATTTAATTTAGGCACAGCATACGACGGCTATTTGTGTTACCTCTGTTCCAATTTTAATCGAGTCCCCAGGGAATGGAATTTGAGGGTCTCGTAGAACTCTTCCTTATCATCAACTTCTCAAGCGCATTTCTGTCTTGATAAATTTCTTACCTTATGTAGAATAGAACCTTATGTAGCAAAGTCACTGCAGTCACAAATCAAATATCTTATTTACGGTTGGTTTGTGGAGAACTTAAAACATGGAAATCCGTCTGCCTGAGTTAACCCGCCATATTTCCCGGGGTGGGGAAGGAAAAAAAAAACAAACAGCTTTTTATAACGCAGATCATATTATACTCTATAAATAATAGTGTGCAGATTAAAATCAGTTCTTTTTCTTTTATTTTTATTTTAGTAAATAACATTTAACAAGCACTACAAAGTGAAGAAAATCGCTAACATATATCTGTATATATTTAAGCCCTTCCCCATTCGAATGAATTAATATGTTTAGCTTGAGACATTACATAAAGTCCAATAAACTCGCGC